CTTCTTGTCCCTTGAAGTTGATTTGTACTCGTCGGTGGTAAAAAAATGGAAAAACAGAAAATAGTGCCCGAAATTTTCACCATACGTGCAATTTTATACTCATTTCCTGAACATGAAGTGTAATCGTTCATATCGTGTGTTTTCTTTTACTTTTTTTCTTTTCTTTATTACAACCTAAATACCAGCATTACTGTGATTTAAACTATGCAAATATATAACAAATTAGGTTAGTTTTGTGCAGGAATATGTAAAAGGAATTTCGTCAACTGGCATGCAGTCGAGTCATGGATTTGACGGTCAGATCAATGCCTGTTGGACCCATAAAATGTCACATACAGAACTTGAGTCTATTCGTGTGGCTGGATTTCCTGTATCAGTAATTCATGGCAGGTGGCTCTAGCATTAGAAAAAGCTACTGACTTTTTTCTTATTTTCAAACTATGGCTATGTTTGGCAAAACTAACTAATAAGTTAGCTGATAAGTCATATGATAGCTTATAAGTGAATTTCAAGCTTATACCTGATAGCTTATGGCTTATAACTGAAAGAATAGTTGATATGATAAAAGTGTGTGGTAAAATTAGCTGATAAGCCAACTGAAATAAAAAATTCAACGGGATTATTTGAAAAACTACCCAAAGAAGCTTATAATATAAGTTCGAGCTTTTTAGAAAAGTTCGTCCTACCAAACCAAGCTTATTTGTATATAGAAAGTTTATAAGCTAATGAAATAAGCTATAAGCTAGCTTATGGTTCTTACAAAAAACACTGCATATTGTGGTTGTGTAGACATGATGTCATTGCTCAGATGTGCCATGCAAAACGACTTGCAGAGAAATTATATCCTTGTGCAAGAATGGTTGAGCTTAATGGTGGCCATCTTGTGAGCCATGAGAGAACTGAAGAGGTACATTAAGTCTATTTGAATAGCAAATTTTGGAAGTTCGATCTTACATTCTGTACATGGCACAGTGGAGTTAATAATAATTGCTGACATTGTGTGATATTTTGACAATTCCATCACCCAATTCTCTTTATAGTATAGACAACCAAAAAAAAAAAGGGACCTATTTGATATAATGAAAAGCTGAGGGGTGTAGTTGTGAATACATGATGAGCAAATATGTAGATTGGTTTTCATAATTTCCAAAATTAGTTGGCTGTGTATGTTTAATACCAGAAACCTAAGGGATAGTTTTTATAATTACGCCATATATAATAAGTTAGTTTCACAACAAAAATTATCAGTTCTCTTTAAATATCACAATTTTAAGAGGAATAGATGTAATATGTGAAACCATTTATACTCCTGAATGCTTGCATTGTGTAATCCTTTAAAACCTCAGGTCAATCGAGCTCTTATTGAGTTGATCAAGGCATCACAGAGTATGGTGAAACTACACGATTGGACGAATTTGTCCAATAAAAGCAATGGTGAGTTGATCAATGCATCGAAAAGTATAGTAAACTACTTTTACACATAGTTTTCCTATGATAGACTTGTAAGAAAAAATTGGTTTTGTACCGATTTAACGATTCTACTTTTCGTAAGTAGAAGACTTAGGAAATTCTCAAAACCTTTTTAAGGTGAATGAGAAATTAATTCTAAGTGTTATATGTTAATTAATTGAGTTCAAATAACTCAAAGGTTGTAGGGTTCACAAACATTCAGTTTTGACAAATGTTTGGACGAAGTAAACGAGCCATAATTATGCATTATGTATGCTAGAATTGTAGAATTGTCCATTGCAAATGGAGCTGGAAGAGTCATTGTTGACAATTCTCCTGGCATAGTGCTAATAATGGACTAGATCAAAATGGCTCAATTAAATTATAGTGCTTCTTCTATTAGCGAAGTTTCTAAAAAAAATATATATATATTAAACGGCGCAATGCACCTTGGGTCGCTACGGAAACAGCCTCCTTGTATAATTACAAGCGTAAAATCTGCGTACAACTAACCCCCCAGACCCCTCAATTTTTTGTCCATTACAAATGGAGCTGGAAGAGTCATTGTTGACAATTCTCCTGGCATCCTGGCATAGTGCTAATAATGGACTAGATCAAAATGACTCAATTAAATTCTAGTGCTTCTTCTATTAGTGAAGTTTCTAGAAAAAAAAAATATATCAAACGGTGCAATGCACCTTGGGTCGCTACGGAAACAGCCTCCTTGTATAATTACAAGGGTAAGGTCTGCGTACAACTGACCCCCCAGACCCCAACCTGTTGGGAATATACTGGGTATGTTGTTGTTGTTGTTGTATGCTAGAATTGTAGAAGGGCTAGTTGGGGACAAGTAGGAAAAAACGGAACTCGATTCCGAGTCCGTATGAGCTCGTACGAGCCCGCAGCGCATGGGCGCGCAACTGGCTGCGGAAATCAAAGCGTTGCAACCCTTGGTGACCATAAGGTATCTTTTGGCCACTAGATGCATCCGTTCTCGTTCGGGCACGTCCCAAAAGGTGTCTTTTGACACTTAAACCTCTTGGAGGTGTTTCCCTACATCTATAAATACCCACATACTTGAAATCATTAATTATAAAAATTAGAGAGCTCTTGCATTTCAAATATCATATAGCATATTGCGTTCTTTGATTTGTTTTCATTGAGTCTTGAGAGTTCCAAACAATAGTAGTGTTCGCCGAAGGCTTGTATATTTGAAGTACCACTATATACAAGTCGAAAGTCGTTGTATCTTGGAGGCGTTTACCGTTAACCGTGGGTATTTGACGGGGCAATTTCGTATTAAGGAGAACGTAATTATTACGTGCCTCGACTTTGATTTTTGTTTCGTTTTCTTCATTCTCCTTAAGCCGTCTTTTGATATTCACAAACCACACAAATATAACCTCCAGATTTACCTGGTGTAAGATGTCACATTGTTCGAGACAATTTACTAGAAGTATTTCTTTTCTCTTTTANAAAGACAATTTACTAAATGTACTCTTTTTTTCTATTCTCTCCATCCTTTTCCAGGGTCTAAATCTACTCGGATATCAGTGTGGAAAGCAGTCAGTTCATCTTTTATGGTTGAGAGTGTACAAAAGCTACATATTTTCTTAGTTTACATTTTTGGTCTTTTTGTGTTCGCATTCGAGCACTTAAGAAGAGGCGTAAGGAGGCTTAATCCCGTCAGAGTTGGCTCGGCTCTTACTTAAGCTAACATAGGTACAGTAATACCTTTTCTCTGCTCGTAAATCCTCTTAGTACTTACTTTTTATAGCATATAATTTACAAAATTATTCATGAGAAAGATATGAAGAGGGTTATCTGCAATCACGAAATATAATTCGAGATTTTTTTTTTTGTATAAAATTATAACTCATCAGCTTATCTGCTTATGCCATGAAAGTCTGAAGCATTCGGTTTTTCGTCTGTGTGCAGGGAAATTTCCTTTTTTTCCTTGCTATCACCTAATCGTTTGATTTTGTTGGAACCAAATAAGTTGCTGGACAGAATAAGTTTGGTTATGGAAAAAACAGAGATTTGTTTGTGTATAAAAAGTAAAAACACAGAATGTCTTGTACAGCAAAAAAAAGCAATCATGTTCTTGTACACTGAATATTTTGAATTCATAAAATTATTAAATACACTCCTCTGATATTGAAGGGGAAACTTTTAATTAATTTAGTTACTACTCCATTTTTTTGTCTTTCTGCAGCCTGTAAAGGGAGAGTTGATTACAAACAAACTCAATATCTCATTTTTGTCATAAGCATCTTTGTACAATAAGAATTTCATCAAAGTAATCATTTTGGAAAAGAGAATGTTAGAAAGAAAAAAAAATACATATTTTAAATGATAATAAATTATTAGTTGATGCATGATTAAATTGTTAGTAGCTTAAACCAATCAACTCCTTTAAAGTACTACAAATGAACTAGACAAATACTTACAGATTCAATTTTTTTTAAAAAAAAAAAAAAATAGAGAATATACTTACCTTAAACCTACAAACCAAATTCAGATTGCAAACAGCCTATTGGTGTCCCCACTCCACATGCCGCCATGTTGAGAGGCCGGTAGAGGCGGCGGCCGGAAGTGCTGCCGGACAATATTTTCTGGGTCAATAATGCAAATATATAGCAGCTGAGCCAATGGACTAATAATATACTAGAAGAATATTCTAATATGCTCTGTTTGTTTCCCTAAACACAATTTCAGGAAATGAGAATACTACACGAAATATAAACATTAAAAAATGAGATAAATGGAATGAAAAATTATAAACTCTTATCATATTATGATAAAATAAAATAAATATAATGTAATAATAAAATTTAGCAACTTAAGAAAATCCTTACTCCATTATTTAATACCAACTCCAGATAAAATAGAAAAAGGGCAAAAAAAAAAAATATATAAGTTGACCCGCTCCGAAAATCTATTTACTAACCGACCCGGATCCATATATGTCCTGACCCACGCGCACGATTTATCCATCTCCTCTTGTCCTGCAATTTTGTTCTTGAGCCTTTACAAATTGGGTCGCGCAAAGATGGAAACTTTGGCTGCTGACGTCATACCAGAAGCCACTAACAGATGGGATTAGTTGGTACTGTGTGTGTAGTGTATGTGTTTTTGTTGAGCTGCCCTTTGTGATTTTTATTTCCCCGATTGTTATTTTTGACTGCCATCGCAAATTTTCTTTGAACGGCGGGGTTTACTGAAGAAAAAAACAAATGGGGTTGTGAAATATGCTTATATGGGAGGTATAAGGAAATCGGCTTATAATTTGAGAAAAATGCATTCTTTTTTGCTTTCTATTTTTTGGGCTTGATTTCAGAACATTAAGCATTAGCTGGCTGCATTTGTAATGGGAACTGTTTTAAGAATTTGGATTTCATTTTTCGGTCCTGATTTTCTGATATGTACCCTGTTGAGTTCTGTGCATCTACTGGATTTTGGATGTTTATGAATGAAACCCCGTTTGTTTCTTTAGGTGATTGGCAAAGTATGTGCCAGTAAATTAAGATATTGCACGGTTTTCTTGAACGTCACTCTGATTTCTTGATGTATTAGTGTTCGTTGAAGTTTCGTATTTTGACAAGTGTTTCACGTTCAAGAANTATTTGATTTTTTGTAAACAAAATGGAAATATGGCCGTCCAATTTTATGCAGTGTATTTCATATGTAAGTATACAATTTGCAATTGGCTAAACAAATGAAAAAAAAAAATAAAAAAATAAAAAAATTGCCAAGTTCTTATTTTGTTGTATTGTATCTGCAATCATCACTAGTTTTCTTGTCAGATAAATTTCTTATGATTCTTTGTTAGTCATGTTGTTTTCTGTTTCTATTTAATGCTAAACAGCAACTTAGAGATAAATTATGATTCTGAGGAAACTGCCCGCATGGTTCGTGCTGCATTATCCGTTGATAAGGAGGTGAATTGCTAGCTATCCATATTTGATTTTTTGTAGCTTGTTTGCTCTTGAAGTTATCTTTGATATTTTCTATCTATTTCGGGATTACAGTTGCATCCACATAAGGTGAAAAGGGAAATGTCAGTCTCCGGTGGTCAGCTTTCTGTGTGAGTTCCTTTTATGTGTGTACTTTCCTTTTTCGATCAGAACAATTTTTTTTTTTTTTTTTTTTTNTGATTTTGGAAAAAATGACCCCATTTTGGAAACTTAATTCTAGTTTGATTTCCCTTTTGTGTTTGATTTTGGAAAATTCATATCTTTAGTTTATCGCTTTTCTGAATCTTTTGCTGCATGAGACAATTTGGATCTTAATTTTGCTTCTTTATGATGATGTACAGTCGTTTTGAGGCAGTTGAAGCCAGATTCCTCTGTGCATCGTACAGTGCTTTTGTGGATGTTCTTACGCTTGCTACGAAGACAATTGAAGAAATTGTTCATTGATGTACTTCAGCTATTTAGTTGAAAGAAATCATCGTACATTTAAGAGATCCATTTTAAAATTTTCGTATGCATATCGTCACAAAGGCAAGGGGCTTAGTTGTTTAGCATGTTAACTTGTCATATTTTTTGAACAAAAAATAGATACTTTATTGCGAAAGATGATTTTTGTTTCTTTTGAGGTATGATATTAATATGTACATTTGTTGAAAAAATTTAAAATTGTATTCATCAAAGTTATCCTATCAATAAAATCTCACTGATTATATAGTTAATTTTCTCAGGTTGTTTTATTTTACCCAATACAATAATATGCAAGTTATTTGTAACTTTGAACAATAATTATAGTGTTTTGCTAATAGACTGAACTTCATCAGAAGTAGTAAACTGTTTCATTCTCCAATCAAATATCAATCAAAATGTTTATAACAAATTACACTTGTATGCTTATATGGTGAACACAAGACATGAAACTAAAACCTACAAGGAAAACAAAAAAAGTTGCACACTTCTTTTAAATTTCAATAGGAACCCTTTAAGAGAGAAAGAAAACCAGCACAAGCTGATCTAAAAGAAACAAAAAAAACTATCCCCTCAAAGTTCTTCTCTTTTAGCCTCTGATAGTTTTCCACTAATATTCATCCAAATAAGTGTACAAAGTTTCATCTTTCTTGGACTTGCGTCGACTGAGTAGAGATTTGAGTAGACGTTTGCTTTTGCTCGGGTATTGCTCGTTTTCTATAGGACCTTCCTTCCCAACACGGACCCGCATGGAAGCTGATTTTCGAGCTTCAGAAATATACTGGCATATTCGAACAATACAGAGCCAAAATAACTATTAACATCAATAATTACAAAAAAATAATAAAATCAATAAAAAAAACAGAAATGTACTCAAAGTAAAAATAGTTGACACTATATACCGCTTGTCTTCCAAGTGAAGGGTTTGGAGTAGTTGGCCTGCTTCGATTTGGTGTGCTCGAATTCGAGCCTTTCGGAGTTGAGGGCTTCATCGAAAGCGAACCTGAACGCATAAGTGGGAACCGATGTGGCGAAGTTGCTCTTTTTTCTGAATTATTACACACATCATCATCACTAGTCAAAAAAACAAAAAAAAAAACAAAAAAACAAAAAACTATATAGTCTAGAGTCTTGATAGAAAAAAGCTTAGTTATATATATCAAGAATTACAAATGGCCCCTGATATTTGTTTCTGTTTCCAAATTGCACCCTTGATGGATGGAAGTAAATAAACACAGTTACACTTACACAAGGGGATGTTTCTAAACATTTTGATGGGGTATTTTGCAATTTTGAAAGATAATCAGGTTTTTTGCCCTTTTTTTTTAAAAAAAAGATGAGGATGAACAAACCTAAATCTTTACTGGGCATGTTGTTAGAGAATGAGAAGTTCCCATGTTGCTGGGTAAATCTCGGTGAGAGTGAAGGAGAGGGTCCTTTTCTGCAAACAATAATTGATGTGATGAATATCTTCATTAATAGGTACCTATAAATTTTAAAAATGTGATAAAAGTGAAGTTTTTTTCGCTGTATAAGTGCTCACCCGACTATAGATGGTGGTGGAGTTTCACGGATTGTGGCTCGAATGGCTGCAATGAAATTAGCCCACAATAAAAACATGCACAACTTCAAAGCTTTCTTTAAACAGAAAAGAAAGAAAAAAGAAAAAAAAATGAAAAATTGATATAATATGCTTTACAGTTCTTCTAATAACTGAAAAAAAATTAATGAAAAGAATAAACTCGAAAGTTGAGCAATCAATTATACTTGGCAAGATGTATCGTTTATGGTAATGGGGAGTGTTTATCACCAATGACTGCTGAGAGAGACCTTCACGATCGACATACTCCTGGCAAGTCCGCAGTCTCTAAACCACAGCATGAAATAAATAAATCAATCAAAATGCAGAACAAACGGGACATTTTTTATTTTTATTTTTTTTTTGCCAGGCTTCTAGTGAGATTTTCCACAATTAGGGAGTTTGGCAATAATTTTTAGTTGATAATTTAGCTCCTTGAAACTATGCAAACCTTGAATCAGATAACAAATGAAACTTTCACGATTGCCCGATTATGGAAATGAAGAACACAAAAGCTTAGTTCAAGCTTGTTGGAATATGTTCCCTCACATTCGTAAGAGAAAGCTAGCAAACTAACAAGACAATATTTGCATCTTAGATGGTACCGATTTATTAAAAATGATTGAAGATGAAATCAATTACAGAAAAACAATAAAATAAACAAAAAAAAAGGTACCTGCTGAATGCAAGACAAACGAAGCTCGGTTCCAGAAACTTCATCAACCTTCTCATCTAACATGTCACTGACCTTATACGTGACAGAGCCCAAATGGTCCACTGTATTAATAAGAGCTTTAATAGCATATTCTTTCAATGTATCCACCACTCTACACATTCAAAAAGTGAAACAGATAAAAAAAAATATCAAAGGAAATAATTACAGACAAAATTAAAATAGATATATAACAGGAGAAGTCGAGTCGACAACTTCAGTAAGCTATAAGAAACTCACGTGTCCTTTTGGTCGTCATTACTGTAAGACAACTCAAAGTACTCGGCAGCTGAGTAGAGCTGTTTCCGAAGATTTTTCAAGTCCTACAGAAGAAAAAAAAAATGAAATAATAAAAATGCAGTTGACTCGGTTCCGCATTCAAGGCTCATAAAAAGATATAAATCAAAGACATTTTTCATATCTTTTTTTTTTTTAAGAAAAAAAAAAGTAAGTTCACTATAATTTCAGTCCAACATTTGCCTTCACAATTTAATCAAGTTTCCTTACATAATCACAACTTTTTGAAATTTTCACCATCACTGTCGCTAATTCATTGAACATGTAGATGGAAATATTATAAATCGATGAGCCTATGAAATGAAATGGAACAGTTAATCAAGGACCACACAACAAACAACAAAGAAAGGAAAATACCACAGAAAACAAAAAACAATCTCAGACACAAGTGTAATAAGAAGCCAAAAAAAATACCTTCAAACTATCAGAGAATAGCATACTTTGCTGCATAGAAACCTCGTCATAATTGGCTGGCTCACGAGGAAACTGCATCGAGCCTGCTAAACAAATAGTAGCTAAAAAATCCTTATCCTGTAGCAACCATTAACACAAATTGAACTCAATTTAATGAAAAGCTTTATTAAGACTACTTGAAAAAGGATATTATAGTCGCTTTTTACGTTCTTAGGACAGACTTTGAACAGAATGATTCTTGCAGGACACCCAGTGGGGTTCACTTAAATGACAAAGGAAAATGAACAACTGCAAAGCAGAAACTGAATGCGTTTTTTTTTTTTTTTT